AATGAATATTTGAATTTTTAAATATTTATGGATATTTTATTTTAAAATTATAAAATTAAGAAAGATTCAATTTTCAATATTTAATATTTAAGAACAAATAAAAACTTATCTCACATATTCTAAAAAGCCAAAACAATTTTAACGAAAAACTATGGGGCCCACCTAAGAGCCCCAAGTTGGCCCGTCACTTTGTGTGGAGCCAACTTGGGCACTCCACTTTTTAAGGGGAGGCCAAGATGGCATGCCCCATTATCTTGTTCTTCCATATTTAGTGGAGATTTAATATCTTGTTTTAAGATATAGTTTGAAAATAAAAGACTTGTTGACCAAGCCAATTTAAAACACAAGATATACTATGTGAGTGCTAAGACATTGGGAACTCTAAAAGAGATATAAACAAGAAAAGAGTTTTATCTCTATTGTATTTAATATTATCTTCTATTGATGAGATAAAGGTTTAGAAAGCTGAAGGATAAGGTTTTGATCATCCTTTGATTCATGATGACTCTGATGCCAATGAAAGTTGGACAAAGTCATCTAGCACGATGTATACAATTTTTAATTTTGCTTCTTCTCAGCGACTAGAACACTTATAATGATCCAATTACAATAAACTCAACTCATAATAAATAAATAAATAGATAGCCAGAGTGGTTCTCACTTGCTGCCACTAATTTACTACCAAGAAGGCTAGTGTGGTAGAACATTTGTGATTCAGGAAGGTATTGCATATTGCGAAACCAATAAGCATTGAGCTATTTATTTTGGCATAAGTCTTGCTATACTACCTCCTGACATAAGCCTGAGAATACTGAGAAAGTAGATGTTATATATGTTATAATTGAATGGGAGCTGTTATAGTCCCACGATTCTTTTTAGCTGCTTGGATATTTAGATATACAAGTATTCTATTATGAAAGATCCAGATAAACTCAACATTCCACTTGCTTATGTTGGACAGGCCAGCTAGAACAACATACTATAATAATATTGTTCACCCATGGAACTCAAATATATGGCGCTATTTGTAAGACTACAGAAGGGAGCAGCTTGATTAAAGAACTCATTTGAGCTACTGAAGAGACGGCCTTATGCGATGAGGGTACTTGATGATCTTCTGCGACAATAGATCTATGATTCGCGATGCGACATAAAAGATGGAATAGGCCACATTCGAGAAGCGATCCGAGCAACAAAGAGAAAGTAGCATTACATCTATAAATCCTTTATGAAAGTAGTGATGACGAAAGAGTTCATCAAGATTAATGTAATAAGAGAATAAGTGAAAAATGCTTGAGAGATATTATAATTAAGGGATGAGAGTATAAGAAAGAGATATTGTAAGGCCTTTCAAGACAGATGTAGGGTTTCAGTGGCATTAAAGACCTTATGGGAGCTTGTAATTAAACATTTGTGGGAGTGTGGTCCTATGTTGACTATGATAAGCAAATGTAATTTGCCGATACTCTGAATGACCTTAAGAGTTAGGCCAATTGAGTTGGAAAACCCCTATTACCTGTCTATGAAAATAAAATTAATGAGGGTTTATGGGTTATCCCTTGATGAGGTCAGAGTAATCAGGGGAGTGAGCCAATAGATTATGTGACCCTTGTGTGTGATGGTTGGCCTCTAGAGACGAGGGTCAAAGCCTCATTACTGGATCATCATACGACATGTGCATATGATAGCTGTATCAAGAAAGCAAGACATCATTGAGGGTGCAGCGGACACATATGTGAGAGATTACCCTTATGCACCATAAAACTGTAATTGCATCCGGTAGACCAATGGGTTTGTCTCTAGGGGCCAACCTGTAATCCATAGGCTGGGATTATGTCCCCTTGCCTTTTGGCTGACTTTGGTAGCTCAATCATAACCCCTGCAGACTTTGGTAGCTCAATTATAACCCCTACAATGTTTTATGAATCATGAGAACAGCTAGGTCAATGTCAGTTTGAGAAAGCAGCTGTTGATTATAGTCTATAGTAGAAGATGGAGTGCTTTAGAATAAATTAAGTTCCTAAACCTAGAACGATCGTTTATTTTAATGATAATTGATTTTTAAAATTATTATTTGAATTTTTAAATTTCTCTGAATATTTTATTTTTATAAAATAAATTTATAAAATTAAAAAAGATTCAATTTTCAATATTTAATATTTAGAGACAAATAAAAACCCATTTTACATATTCTGAAAATCTAAAACAATTTTTTAAAAAATCAACTTTTTAAGGGGGTCACGTGGGACCCACCTGTGGTACCCACCTAAGAGCCCCAAGTTAGCATGCCAGTTTTTTTGGAGCCAACTTGGACGCTCCACTTTTTGAGGGGGGGATGAAATGCCCCGTTATCTTGTTCTTCTATATTTAGAGGAGATTTATTATCTTGTTTTAAGATAGATTTAATATTTTGTTTTAAGATATGGTTTGAAAATAGAAGACTTGCTGACTAAGCCAATTTTAAAAACAAGATATGCTCTGCCAATTTTAAAAACAAGATATGCTCTGTGGGTCCTAAGAGATTGGGAACTCTAAAAGAGATATAAACAACAAAAGAGTTTTATGTCTAGATACATTATATCTAGTATTTTAGTATATATTTTATTAATGAGATAAATGTTTAGGAAATTGAAGGATAAAATTCTGCATCATCCTTTAAATCATGATGTCTGATCTTAGAAATTAAAAGCTTAGATCTCTCACCCTACATGACTTCTAAGATCAATAGGACTGGATCAATTTATGAGATGGCTATCCTCAATAAAACCATATTGCCCTGGAAAGTGGGCCCCCCATTTCTCATTCTCTGTACACTTAACTTCTCTCTCTACTCTCTCTACTCTCTAAAAGGTGGCATGCCACCCTTAGGGAGATTGTCTCTCTTAAGTTCTCATCTCTCTTTAAAAGTTGAGATAGGGGGTACACCCCTATAAGAGAACATCGAGGAGATCACGCTCTATATATAGATCTAAGGCATTGAGACATTGATGAGATAGATCTAAAGCATTGAGGCCTTGATAAAATTCTTACTCTCATATCTTGTGAAAAGGTTTTAGCCAGTGCTTTCTCATATTTAGAATATCCAAGAAAATCCATTGATCCCATGCCCCATTGGAGGAAGGAAACCCGATGTGTTGTGTTCTAAGTCCGGTTGAAATAATCTTCCGACATCCTGCTTTATGGTTTGCAGCATTTATTTCTTATATTTTCTTATTCCCAAAACATCGTGTTGGTTTTATTCATCAAATAAAAGAAGTTGTAATTAGTGGCAGCAAGTGAAAAAGACTTTTGGTTATTTATTTATTATGGGTTGAATTTATTATGATTAGACCATTGTAAGTGTTCTAGTCATTGAGAAGAAAAAAAATTAAAATAGATCACCTAATTCAACTTTCATGTCTATCCCACATTAGGGGTAGCAATGGACCTGATTTTGGACTCGAAAGGTCGGGTCTAGGTCTAAAACTTGGACCCAAATATTATTGGCATCTAGGTCTTTCCGGACCTGACCCGTACCCGACCCAATACATTCATTTCTTAAGAATTTCTAGTTATTACTTGGACCCAATACATTCATTTCTTAAGAATTTCTAGTTATTAATTGAAACAATAAGGAGTGTGGGTATATGTGGGTATTTATAAATGTTGTATGATACTATAAATGTTGCCAATAATATGAATATATGATGATAAGAAAAAAAAGAGGAGACAAACAAAAAAAACTCATAGTCATAGGGTGGCAATGGATAGAATGGGTAGACCCGGGATCCGACAGGTTCAAGTATGGATCCAATTTTTGAACCCAAAAGATCGAATCTGCAAAACCTGGACCCAAATATTACTCGGGTCCTAGTTCAGCCAGACCCAACTCGTACCCGACCAGTTGCCACCCATATCCCACATCTTTGGTATGGGATATTTACTGGTGGAACCAAAAGATGCCGAACCTTATGAGGTTCTAAAAATGCTCTTCATTTGTACCTCGTGTTGTTATTTTTTGCACGCTTGTTCAAGTAGACTCAATTGTAAGTTCAATGGCCATATTTTTTTAACTGAAAATTTCGAAATATTTGTTATCAAGTTTAATTTAATATAAGCCAATAGCTCAAAAAATGCTCCAAATAATCCTCGAGGACCGATTGTGAATCTGAGGACGATTTATCTATCTATTTTTTTTAATATTATAAGAGACATAATGGGCATTGTTCACCAACATTCAACTCATAAAAAATGGGAGAAAGCATCAAATAGGGAAAATAATACAAGGAGAATTAATGCAAAAAACAAGAGGATTCACTAATAACTATTTAAACGCTGTAGTGTTTTATTTTTATTGCTCCGACTAAATACATAACCTGTTAGCAAGTACGAGTTCAATGGAAGGATTAAAAAGGCAAGAGATAAAAAAAAAATGACACAGTTAAAAATAGTTCAGAAAGATATGGCGACTCATGACCTCATTGAAAATATGACCTTTAATAGATCAGAATGACATATCAAGATTAATGTAACCAATTAATTGAAAAAAACTATGATGACGATGATGATTATTATTATTATTATTTTATTATTATTACATGACGTATTTCTTCCATAAAAAAGCCAACAAATTATTTATGCATTGCCAACTTTGAAATGAACGCAATGAACACCAAACACCCAAACGTTAGACAAGTTTTAAATATCTACACATTTTCAATAAAATAATTAAAAACCATAATGCAATCAATTGCATTATTTCTTTGACAAACCTAAATGACTAGATTTTTGAAACATTATAATGATTTTTGAAAAAATTTGTAAACCAAAACTGATCAATTCAACCGATTCTCTAATCCAAATTGCCGATCCATACCAAACCATTTTTTAAAACCATGGCTTTAGCATACTCTCACTCTCTCTCTCTCAAGCTTCACATTGAGATAACACCATTCATGATCGTTTTAACACATAATCTCTCCGTCACAAACACACATAATGTCAACACATGTCAAGAGAAATTCAAGGAGGTAATCTATCCACAGTGCATTAACTTTGACAAGCAGTGGTAGATGCCCTCAAAAGTACATCAAAGTTTACATGTTAATTACCATATAATCCAATGGTATATACAATACATAGCACTTTTGCCATAAAAGACCGCTGCTTTACTTTCTCGTACAGTCCAAAAATGTCAATAAACAAATTCCCCATACAAACCGGGCCTTCATTTACAGTAAAAAATAATACCAAGGGAGATAGGTGTTCGTTCCAAGGAACAAAGAGAAAAAAAGCCTTTTGGATGGACAGGAAAATACTATGGAATGAAAAAAACGTGCAGAGAAAGAGAGACTTTCTGTGATATTATAGATGGAACTGTTCGAGACGATGTCGTGGTTAAAATTTTCTCCGAAATTTTCTCTGAACAGAGTTGAAACGTAAACTAACAACTATCAATCACTTCCATCACTGTCATAATTCTGGCAAAGCGATTGGAGCCCTGTATTAGCCACCGCATCATTATTTGTTGCTCTCGTCTCCTTTGTTTCCTCTTTCTCTCTCTCTTTGAGAGTTTCAGTGGGAGCAGCGCGAGGGGGTTTCTTTACAAAAGTCACAGCAAAGGGTTTGGGCTTGATAGAGGTTGGTTTTATCGATCCTGAACCTCTTGCATTTTCTGCAGTCACACAACAAATCAATAATCAATAACCTGAAAGACTTTGCGCCCTTCAAATTATGTGTGCATGTGTGTGTGAGAGTGAGAGAGAGAGAGAGCGGCGGAAGAAGAGGTAGAGATGCAGACGGAGACTAGGTTTTACATATAGAATCTACGTTTGAAAAACAAGAACCAGGGTCCGACACCGTGACCTAAAAATCTGAGTCAGATCTGTAGTTCCAATTTGGATCACCCAGTTCGGGGAATTAGACCCAAATTAAAGATTTTATGAAAAAATTGTGGTTTTTGAGAAGCACAAGTGTCAACTCAAACCTTGTCATTTGAGAAGCAAGCAACCCATTTTCCATCAGAGACCCAAATTTATGCAAATTTTTGGCCACTTGAGATTCAGAGTAACCCATTTCCCATCAAAGGGACACAAACTCATGCAAATCTTTGGCCATTTGAGATTTGAATAGCCCATTATCCATCAGAGACAAATTTATGCATATTTTTTGACACTGGAGAAGTATAAGAAAGACTCACATCTTTGGTTTGACTCTACATTGAATGAAATTTGAATTGTTAAAATTTTCGCTGGGGAATCATTAAAAATTTGAAGGAAATTTGAATTAGCTTTTCAACAACCTGGAGTTGGGGTTTCATTCAAAATTTCACCCAAATTTGTGGAAAATCATCCAGGTGAATAGAGATTTCTGAAATATGCAGGAAACCCCGCAGAAATTTAAGCTGGAATCAGGTAATGAACTCCCCATTTCAACCAAAGTTACAATGATATTAAATTAAAAAAAAAATGTCTTGATTCAAACTTGGAATCAAGTTTGAATCAAGAAAGCCATTTCGGCCAGAAACCAAAGATTTTAAATCAAAACGTCCTGATTCAATCAATGGAATTTCCATCGAGACAATATGAATGATTTTTGAAACAAGTAAAACCTAAAACTTTGAAACTATAATATATTAAAACCATTATTTTGGAACTTTTGATATCTCAATATCAAGGCTTTGGTATAAAAACTCAGATCTATCAAAAAATGCTTAGAATCAGGTTTTTTTCTTTTTTTTAAGAGAAAAATGGGTTAAAACAAGACCAATCAAATAAGGGGAGAAAGGGCCTTTGGTCCTCCATCCAAGCCCTGAATAATGCACCAAAGGAAAGTAGCCCGGATTTTTAAAATGGGAAATTCCCCATTTTTAGGCAGATTCACTACAATGAACAAGGCAATTCCCCATTTTTAGGCAGTTTCACTAGTCCAGTGGTATTTGGCAGCGGTGACTGCCCAATTCTGGGTTAGATAGGACAATTCTGATCCAACCAGCAATTTTTCAATCACTGGTTAGAAGTGGGAAAAGTGCAGCATATCAAGATTTAGAGTTGATGTCATCTATTATATAAAAAAACTGTCTTGCACTTAACAAAAAAATAAAAAATATGTGAAAAAATTAATTGAAAAAAAATAGCAGGCAAACATATAAAGCCTAGTATACTTAAAATAAGAAAGCAAAGAAGCTTGTTTTTCCTTAGCTCCAAAAACCAAATCTAAGTAAATTCAATAACTACTTGGGTAAGTAAATAGTAAAAATAAAGAGAAACTTATGAACAGAAGGATAACTTAAAATAGAAGGCGTGGAGAAAGAATATATTACAAGAACTTGAGATAAGCAAGAAGAGTAAGATCTGAGAGATGGGAGGAAAGAAAATAGAGTGCACGAGAAATTACAGGAAGAGAACAATTAAATATGGTACAGGACTTAAGATATTGCAAATGGGAGAGAATTTTCTATGCAAGCATTTACTTTGGAATAAACTTAATATGGATCTTATGTTGCTTATGTCATATAAGTTGATACCAAAGATTCAAGAACCACATCCATCTACCAAAACCTCTCATGGAACTTCTGCTGATGGTTGCTGTAGTCTGATAACCTCAATAAATCCTTCACCCCATATATTTGATTAGTTGTACCCAACGTCTATATTTGTAACAATAATGAGGCACAGCAGTTTAATGTATATCAAAAAGTTTAGCCTTTTTTATTTCCTCTGTAAGGAGTACTCAATGGGTTAACTAAATACCAGCAGGTATTAGGTATGGTCAGAGATGAAGATGTTGGTCACCAGTCGTGGTTCTCATACGAAGTAAGTATGAGGAAACTCCACCTTTAAAAATCATCATGAAGAAGGTGAGCTAAAATTATCAATTACCTAGTTGAGTCTTGAGATTGTCACAATATCTTATAATCATCATGAGGAAGGTGAGCCTAAAATTATCAATTACCAAGTTGAAAGTCTTGAGATTGTTACAATATCTTATATATTTAATCATGTATTTAATACTTCTTAATGTTAATCCATGCCTACAATTTCATGAATTCTCACTGTCATAGTCGGAATCTCAGTTTTAGAAATTTAATTACATGCACCTGTCCAAAATAAAATCCAATCATATGCATTTTCATGACTTTTGATTCAACTTTTGGTGATACTTCTTTCATCATTTTTTCTAATTTCACATAGATAGTTGTTTTTCACAGTTTTCATAGGAGGACCTACATTTCCATCAGATAGCTCGTCCTTACAGTAACTCTTTCATGGCAACCTCAGAAAGTTGGTGAAATTCATACTATTCCTATTCACAAGAGTAATAGTTCTCCTCAGTGTTTAAAAACATGAGCTAGGGCTGGGATTCAAGACGATCCTAAGCCTGAATCACCCGGTTTGACTTGAGAGACTGGATATTTTTTTAGACAAAGAAATTGCTAATATCTTTGAAAATTTGCCAAATCGGGTAGAATCCAAGGTTTCACCTCCGTACTCGCCAAGCCTCTCAGTGAGTCCTAAGCTGGGTCGTGATTTTAATAACTGGCTGTCCTATATCTCCCTTGGCAGACAGAGACAATGTGAATGAAGCTTGATATGCTGCCTCGATAGATAAATGGATGAAGTTGTTTATTCTCCAAAGTCACATCCAAAAGTAGAGGTAAAAGATTTCTGGCCATCTCCGCCTTTATTTTTCTAGCCCAAGTTACTTAACTACACAATCTTTAAAATAATCTTTTTACATGTCTGTTTAGAATCCATGAAAAGCAACATTAGAAAAATGTAGTTGTAAATAAGAATTCATCAACAGCAATATTTTTATAAATTATCCTTCAATGAAAGAGAAATAACTATATACATGAAAAACGTGTTTATAATAATAGAAAGAGGCCTGTTGGCAAAAGAAGACATCATTCCTATAAACCAAACATTTTCCTCCCAATATTCATTTCATCACAGATCTAATTTCTCCGCACCTTCAATGGCATCATGCACCAAAAATTGCTGAATCAATTCTTTCAGCCATCCCCCACATGGCGGGAAAATATCTAACAAAATAGAACTTAGAAGTGTGAAATGTGAAAAGATTTTATGTTCATTTGTAGTCAACTGTAAATAGATGTCGATGACGACCACAGATCACAACTGCCACAGCAAATGAATATTGCCTTCACAAGTACATTAGAACTCAGAATAGTTCAGCGATTGTTCATAGAGAATTTATGAACAATCTAAACATCTAGTACTGATATAAATGAAATTATGAGGGAGGGTCGATTAAGTTTATGCATGAACTAACACCTAGTAAGCACAAAAATGTTCCTTTTAAATACTTCAATTGCATTTTCAAATTAACTACCCCAAAGAAATTGCTTATTCAAATTAACTTAACCACATCCAGAAGAACTCATATCAACCACTCAAAACTAACCTGTACATTTATCTTTGTCTGTTATGGTACTGGTCAAGCAGTCGGTTGGATTTCGCTTCTCCCCTCTGTCAACCGATTCAGAGACCCTCCTCTAGATAATATACAAATTACAAATGGTTAAAGTGATGAATTTACATGTCTGATAAGATAAAATCTATGAAAGAATCCACAATACAAATATTGGATATACAGAAATTGCAAGCCATATTCATTACTTTCATGACTAAAAGGAAGCCACCTTGAAAAAGAAAATACATGTGGTGTTCTCAGGAAGCTCTTGATTGTGAACCTAGTAATTCTAAACACAGGAATCCCAGCCAATATCTTGGACAAAGCAGGCTAGAAGCAAATTAAGCGAATAAGTATACAATGTTAAGTGGGTTCCCAGTATTTAGGATTCGAAGTTGCACAATCCCCAAGAACCATATAATTGGTATCAGAGCACTAGCTTTTGAGACTTACTAGGTAAGAGGTTTGTGGCAGTTTACAAATCTTTGAATATTGTTGGAAGTAGTACAACGATATTCAAAGTCCAAACGTCCAAGGGGTAAAACTTTGTGGCAAGTTGAATCATAGCAGTTAGATGGGAAAATTGAGAAAGAAGACAAGGCAACCACATTACTTTGTTCATTCTTGTCAAAAAACAAGAAACCACATTACTTTGTTCAGTGTCAGATTCATGGGATTTGTTGATTATGAATATCAACAATGCAAAGTCTCTTCACTTTGTCGCGTCTGCACATCGTACAAAGGAGCCACGGTGAAAGTATGGTCAAGAATCCTCATGGGATGTGTTTGTTGCAAGGGTAAGACCAATGGAGAGTACTACAGCCAAGGGTCAGTCAAGGTTAAAGTTGAAAGGGCACAAGGAGGTGAAGTGTTGAGGTTGTGGAAAAATAGGTCATGTGAAGAAACATTCGAAGGCAAAAAAGAGGTAACGGGAACCCCTAAATCTGGTTATAATGAGAATCCTAGTTCAAGTGACTCTAGGGGAATCTAGTAGAAAATGTTGAGTTTATTGAAGATGAGGAAGTTTTGCCTGTATATAAGGAAGAAATTTTACATTATTGAGCCTATTGGCTACTTCACTCGAGAGCATCATTTCACAACCTCCACAAGAGGATTGATTCTATAAATACCAACCATGTAACAACAGGTTGTTTACATGGGAAATAATGAATCAAGTGGGAGTTGGAGATATGAGAATCAAGACATTTGATGGGGTAACACGCACAATCTTTGGTTTCAAACATGTTCCAGATTTAAGGAGTATCTTTATATTGGAAAACTTTAATGAACAAGATTTCAAGTGTACATATGGATGTATGAAAATAGAAAGGGAGAATTGATTATTGCAAAGAATAATATTTTTGCAAGGGGCCGATATTGCAGAAAGACATAACATATAGTTTGGGACACACGATCTGTGTTTGTTTAAAAACAAAACAAAATGCACTTTACTATATCAACCACTAGAAGCAAGGATTTTTTGAAATTGATACATTTAGAGACCTGGAAGTCACATTGATACATTTTGTCATTCTTAATGTTAAGTTTTAAAGAAAAATGTTGATTTACATACTAAAAAAACATAAATGCCTTCCTGTGCTTTAAAAGGTTTAAGGCATTGCTAGAAAATTAGAAAAACAAGAGTAATAAGCGTGAGAACTGAGTATAGTTACCAGGATATCCCAAGAAGGTGGTCGCTCTAGCTTTGGAAGCTTGATCTTGCGCTCTGGGACAAGGGATCTTGATTCTAGACATTTTTTGAATTTAGCAATCTCTATCCACCAAACAATTGGTGATCTACATCCTTGTTTAATAAGATCCAGATCCCTCTCATCCAAATCATGAGTTCATAAGTAAGTGAAATTGAGCCTCCACCAATGTGGAATCAAGTTTCTTTTACATTTGTGCCAAAGATCACCAGCACATTTTCAGTCACATGCATAGACTGCTCCCCTCTTCCCCTCTTAACTCCATAGCCTGTAATCTCAAATCTAAATTGGCGTTCAGTATAGAGATCAACCAGTTGAGAAACAACCCTAATGTCCACAATGGTAAGTAGGGTTTGAAGCTTGAAGTTGTAAGTCACAAAAATAAACACTATAACATACAAGCTGTATCCATATTACTTTATGGAACCCATAGATGGAGAAGAGTAGCAAAAGTTGCTTCATGTCCTCCCCTAAATCCTTTTCATTTCACTTACTGGATGCCCTATAAGCTTTACACAATTGATCTTTGTCTCTAACGCTCTCTCATTGAACATATCCGGCATGGCAAAGACTTTTGCAAGTTGACCCTTTCTTTGCCTGTGATTTGTGAACCCTTTTTCCCCTCTGTGTATAGAGGGTGTTTGACCAATTCCATGCTCTATCGCATGTAAATGACAGTTCCCAAACAAGGGAAAATAAAAACTAGCTTCTTTCATGCCTGAGAACTGAAATTTGAATCCCCATTTTGGGTTTTAAGTTTCACTTGTCACTTATGAAAGACACTCCAATGATAACAAAAAATATATATATATATTTAAAAAGCAGGATTCTTTGTATTTACTGATTACTTACAATGGTTTTTGAATTAAAAAAAAAATATTAATCTCAAGAGACTTTGTTCCCGAGCTAGAATACCCGATTTGGGGAGCCTCAATTATAAGCTGGATAGACCCCGATCCCATATACCACATTTGAATCATGCTTTCTTCACATTGGGATCACGATCCCTTTAACTCGGTGTACGGATCTGAACCCCTAAACCATGGATCTTCATGCATCTCTAGAACCCATGGTCCCGACCCCTATCCGGGATTTGAGCTCACTCCTAATCCCTGTAACTATGGACCTGATAATGGGGGAGAATCATGTTATGGCAAATGTAATAATCTTGATAGTAAGCATCATTGTTACATCCTTGACAGTTCCCAAGTATACCTCAGCAGAATGAGGTGGTTGTATTGAGTATACTACTGGGTTAGAGTAGTGTTTCTAGGCAAAAGCAGATCGCATAACTTGGTTCCTAATTAACATATCACCCAATGTTGATCTTTACTACAAAACACAATAAGAGGTTAGATAGGTCAACCAGTTGCTTACTCTTTCTTTTGTGATTTTGGCTGTGACGCATACGCTTTGAATCCTAAAGAGCAGTGTATCAAAAAGTGCTAGGCGAGTCCTAGGCGAGCGCTCAGTTCTGGGCGCCCACCAGTTGAAAAAAAAAGAAAAAAATCCCAATATACCATATTCCAAGTTGAAAAAAAAGAAGAAAAAAGATACAAGTCGAGAAGAGAATTTTGATAATCCATATTGTTAAAACAGTAAACTGTAAAACCATACAAGTGTAGGATATAAAAGTCAACACTCAACACAACAGAAATATACAGAAATTTACAAAATATATAGTCTAACAAAAGTCAACACTCATGACTCAACACAACAGTCAACAGACTCAACACTCAGCAGTCGGCACCAAGAGGCAAGAGTCTTCAATCATCATCATCAGAAAGAATATCAATAGGACAAGCCTCATCATATACATCAGAGTCGAGGCCACCATCATCAGAGTCATCTCCCTCTTCAATATAACGCTCTTCCTCTGTTTCTTCTGAATCTGCCTCTTCCTCCTCTTCTTCTACCTTCCTCTTACTAGTATATGCAGTTTGTACAGATAAGGCCCTAGGAGTCTTGGCTGCTCTAGAATATTGTATAATTTCTTCCTTGGTAGCCTTAAGAACATTTGTACAAGGGGCAACATCCCCCATCATACAGGCAAGGTGTTTTTTAAACCGGTAAATGCCCCCCATTATTATCATTTCCACAATAATTAAATTTAATACGATTTTTATCACTTGAATTCGGGTTATAACCATACTTCCAACCCGGATCACAACTCCGACTAGAAACTGGAGAAGATACTTTCATAGAACAAGGCTTATTTTCATCCTTTTTTGGCTCTTCAAATTCAGAAGATGTCTAATCTTATCTCGAACTGCTTCAAGAACCTTTGTACAAGAAGCAACATTACCTCTAACACCAGCAAGGTGTTTTTTGAATCAACTAATACCCCCATTGGTATCTTTTCACAAAAATTACACCTTATACAATTTTTATCATTTGGTTTTGGGTTGAACCCATACTTCCAACCGGATCACTTTTTCTAGTAGTAGAAATAGATCTATGACAAGGATTTTGTTCTTGTTTTTGTTTTCTATAACTTAAAAATTGCTTAATCTCCTCCTTTATAGCTTCAGGAACATTTTACGAGGGGCAGCATCCCCCTTAATACCGACAAGATGTTTCTTAAACCGGTTTATGCTTCCTTCTGTATCTTTTTCACAAAAATTGTATCGAACGCAATTTTTGTCATTTGGATTCAGGTTGTATCCATATTTCCAACCCGGATCTCCACTCCGACTAACACCTGAAGAAGACATCTCAAAATAAAACAAAAGCAATCCAAAAAATGCACTTACTTTTGGAGGTTTATGTTACTCTGAAAGGCTTTTGGTGAATGAACCTAAAAGCCATCGTTCTTAACTTTTATATCTTTGAAAAAAATAAAAATAAAAAATAAAAAAAAATTTCACTTTTGGGCATGGCGCAGGCCTTGGGCGGCCGCCCAGGGACCACCGCTCAGTTTGGCCGCCTAGGCCTGGGCGATAAGCCCAAGCCTTCTGAACCACCTAGGCGGCCAAGGTTCAAGAATCAGTTTTATAGGCGCTGGGCGGTTCGCTTTTTAAATCATTGCTAAAGAGAAAAAAACTAAGTTGGAAGCAAAATAAGCATATTATTCTTAACTACACATGGTACAAAGGGGCACAAATTGTGGGATCTCACCAAACACACTATTGTTAGCAAAGATGTTAGTTTCCATGAAAATTCCATGCAAAAAAAACAAGCCAGATACAATAACATATTGATGGCTAGGATGCTGGGACTTGGTTAGTTATAGTCCATTTCTATATATATGAGTCCCTTAAAGTATAGGCATTGGGGACAACCATCACCAGCATTTAAATACTTGGACAAGAGACTCAATACTCAAGTCAACTAAGCCTGGCCACATCCAATTTCCAAAACCAAAGAAAAAGTATGGCAGGTGCAAGAGTATTAAGGTTTTGATTCACCAAAGCTCTTACAAAATGTTACATTTACCTCAAATGTCTTTTTTTTTGAGAAGTGTTGACATTTATATAACTGAAGTAAGATTACAAGAGAGCATTTACCTCAAATGTTATTCCCACTCTTTATTAGCCCATATGACATTCCATAATGATAAAGTAGCTTCATGACATAGTGGTTATCACCTATCCACCAATGGTTTGAACTATGTTGGCTGCCAATTGTACAACACTATTTTGCCAGGTCTACCGGTTACTCAATGAGTCGACTCCGCTAGAGACAAGTCCAGAGCTTAAGTTTTAACTTTTAAATTTACCTACAATTTAAAATCCTAATTGTAAGATTGTTATGGACCAATATCGACTACAACAACAAATCTTGCAGTGCCCTGGTGGTAACCAAATGTCTCCAGGTAGACCAAAACATGTCTCTCAAACTTCCTGCTGCTCAATATCGTATGCAGTTGTTCTATACATTATGTTTTTGGATAGTGAACAGGGTTGCAAAGCCGACAACGCTTTGATCTTTGTAGATGGTATTGGAGAGCAACATTGAGAGTTAATAATTCTGGTACTAAAGGGGTAATACAGTAATTATAAAATTGAAGTCAACACTTTGAGCTAGATCAACAATTTAAGCTCAAGCAGAGCAACATTCATATGAGAAAAGTGTCAAGAAGAGATACGTATTTACAACCCTATGAAACATCACACGTCACTTGAACTGATCATACAAACACTCAGTACCTAAAGACTCGTAGCCAACCCAGATAGACATTCCGTTTGCCCATTTCATCAGAGTACTTGTGATGTTTGTGCCCTTCATACAAACAATGAACCCCAAAACCTATCCCTCGTCTTAAAGAACAAATGGTATCTTTTCTAACATCTCCAAAATTAAATATGCACTCAGGATTGTGGTTCTAGAAAAGAAGTATAAGATGGGAAACTAAACTAAACAACTGAAATTAAATTAGTGATAAAGTGGACATACTTTGAAAGGTTGCTCATATACATCGTCATCATCATCATCATCATCATCATCGTCATCATCAATCCGCCGAACAAAGTTCTGTGAACCCTGCATTATGAGCATTGATAAATAATCATGTGTGATTAAAGTGCTCTCATCAATAACAACAGACAAACAAAACTTAGGTTCATATACCAACATGGACAAAAATAGACTTGATAAGAGCTTCATCCTCTTCAGCCAACTTCTTCTCCTGTCATGTGAATGCAGAACAAGGAAAGCGAATGACGTGAACACAAAGTTTAGTTAGGTCAAAGTTTTCAAGCACATATCTTATATTAAAAATAAAAAATAAAATAAAGTAAAAAAAAGTTAGGCACATATCTATATTTGACATAAATAATGCCACAGTACCTTCTCTTCATCTGTTCGTTGCAGTGCTTCAAGCATAGCATCTACACTGACAGTTTCATGCCTCGACTGTCAGAACACAAGAGAAATCACAGATCAGTGAAGGCCAGAATATGGAAATATTTAGAATCCTAAAAAATCTGAAATGCAAGAAAGTGAGTATTCCCAGAAAGACAAAAGTAAAAATAAAAAATAAAACCACAAGTTCAATAGTTATGCCTCAAGGAGAAAATAACATAAAATAACTGCAACAGTGAATTCCATCAATCTTTTCACTGAAACAATAAATTTTCAATTTCAAAGATAGTTTACTATAGAAGTACCTTCATTGACTTCACTTCATCCAATGCAGCAAGAATGTCCATTTCTCTTTTCGAATCCAAGGTTCGATTTTCCAAAGATTTCATTGCATCCCCCATTTCTTCAGCATCTCTCTTCCTTTTCTCTCCTTCAATTGCCTAAAGCAAAATACTACATAAGCTTAGTAGTCAGATTCTTACAAAAAACTTGGACTCACACCACTCTAGGAAAAAAACCAGATAATAAAAACCTAAATATCAAGGAACAGACATTTCTACTCCAAGATGCAATTGCTCACCTCATCCTCTGCACGCCAAGGCTCAAAATTGCGTGTTGCACCAGATTCCACAACATAATCTGAATTTTGAGGGTCGGTTTTCATCGTAATTTCAGCTGAGCACTTGGTGCATTTAAAGTAGAATCTGAATATTTGGATGCCCAAATATGCCTGCAAAAATCAGTCAATAAACCAGTTAGTCTGGCCAGCATCATAAATTACAGTCCTTCAGGGGAATAAAATAAGATCAATTGAGTGCCTCCTATAGCCGCCAAAAGGTAAGAGACACCACAGTCATTGTTGGCAAAAATTGATGACACTATAATGCATTAAAAAAACAGTGAATCTCAAACAAGTCATATAACACAGTCAAGTGATTGCCTATGACAATGATAGTAAAGGTAAGATACACCACAGTCATAACCTGCAAACTGCAAGACCTAAAGAGATGATAATGCTTCCTCAATGAGATGGTATGCATAGTGGTCACTTGTTAAAATATGTATTACGATTTTTTGATAAAGACCGCTCCCAACTGAGGTAAATACTCAATGAGTGGTTTCAAGCCATCATGACACATCCACATTTACTCAACTCCAATAGCAGTTTTAGGATTATTTTACTGGTAATATAATTAAAATTTTATGGTTTTCAATTTTTATTTGACTTGGACTGAAAGCCAGTGATTGCAACATGCTCAGAAAATTCAATTCTGGAAACCAGAAAACCAGCATAAAACCTTGCTACTGAAGTCGTCAAACCGCTAACATATATGTTACACTAAAAAAAAGCATTAGAGCCTTAGATTTGTCCCCTTATCTGGAGTAAGGAAGTACATTTTGAATAAAGTTAACGAAAGTGATGCCGTGGTGATCATATTTAATTGCAGCTCAGCACCCCAAAGACTTCTATATTACAACTTGTTTAGTGTTTTGGAACAAACTTCAAGTGTTTGAATCTGACCTCACTCACCCAAACTGGGATCTCTACCACGAAGTTGAAACCATAAGGGGCGATTTTCACATAACTAATCAACAACAACACAAATTGATCATTCATCAAGATAAAAAAAAATAGACCAGAATTCTTACAATTATATATAGACCAGAAATCTTAAAATTATCTATACAGTTGGAAATGAACAACCAAGAAGAGGAGCAATAGAATCAACAACAGATTAATCGGAGTTAAATCATCCATACCCAATAACCAACCTTCAAGGGCGGTTTTCTCAAATGAAAACCACATGACAAACCAAAACAAAACTACACAATCTTTGCCAAGTTGAAATGAAATAATCATAAACACCAATGAAGAACATATAATCATTCTCTTCAACAAATGGAAACTAAATCATCACAGAAACCTTCATATAAAAAACAATCAAAAAGAAAAACCCACCTCGCCAATTACATCTTCCTTTCGAGAATTGAACTTGGTTCCCTTGTATATGTAATTACCACATGTACTGCATCGAATGCTCATAGGAAGCATCATCCGAACTTTAATCTGCTGATTTTTCGGCTGCCGCCTTCTTGGTATCTTTGACGGATCAAAATCAGGGGGATAATATTTGTTTAAAACCTTCCTTTCTCCCATCTCTTAGCCTTGAATTTGAAAACCCAACAAAAAAATACAGAACAACAACCTGAAATAGAAGAGAAAAAACAAAATTACTCTAACAAAACAAGGCGCGTGGTGACCAACTATCACCAGAATTTGATGAATAGCCTCTAATCTTCAATTCGAACCCCTGAAAACCTACAGGTGAGAAGCCTTAAATCGAAAACACGCCTCTCTGTCCTCTACTGTGATCAAACATATGACAATATCTAACCTTGCAAAGTTAGAGAGAGACACTTCAATTCTTGTTCTACAACTCCCACCCCAGGCCTACGAGAGAGAACTGTGGTTGCAGTCCTGCTGCAGCAGCATGAGAGAGAGAGAGAGAGAGAGAGAGAGAGAGAATATTGATCAATTAGGAAGAACAGGAGAGATAGAGCACCACAGAGAGAGAACAAGAGAGAGATGGAAGGGAGAGAACGGAAGAGAGAGAGAGAGAGGCACAAGCGATTGCTATTAGAGAGGGAGAGAGATTGTCAGGGGAGAGGGAGAGGGAGATTGTCAGGAGAGAGAGAGAGAGAGTAGGTAGTTAGCGAAGTTAGGAAAGGAGTAGAGTAGGGGTGTTAGAGGAGAGATGGACAGAACAGAATTTTTAGAGTTAAGT